GCGGGGAGAGGGGGTGAGGGTGGAGAGGGGCACAGCTCAGTCCTGTCTCCATCTTCCAGGGCCAGCTGTGGATAAACGGCTTCAACCTGGGCCGGTACTGGCCCCACCGCGGGCCCCAGCAGACCCTCTTTGTGCCTGGCTCGGTGCTGCATGCTGGCCGCCCAAACAACATCACAGTGCTGGAGCTGGAGGGGGCACCCCCCACCCCCTTCCTGCTCTTCCTCGACCGACCCCTTTTCAACAGGACCCTCAGCCGCAGCACTGCGGCCACAAAATAAATGCAGGCCTGCCGGGCACTGGCATCACCTCTCGCTGGGGCTGCGCAGATGGCAGGGGGCTGGTGAAGCACAGGGGCCAGCCGAGGGGCTGCAGGGCCCTAGGAAAGGGGCACATGTCCTGGCATGGACATCCAGAGCTCCTGCCCTCCTCTGGAGCCAGGCAGGGTCTGTGCTAAGGAGAAAGGGGCTCAGAATTGAGCTTGTTTTGCACGTTAATCCCAAATAGTTCCAGTGCTCATGCTGATGCCCCCTGTACCTAGGGGCTCAAGGCACCTCTTTATTGACAATGCAGACAGAGGAGGTAGTTGCTAACATGATGTCGCTGAGACACTGATGGCACCCAGGAGAGGAGAGGGCAAAGCACAGCCCAGAGAGTGCCCGCAGGCATGGCTGGAGGGCGCTCAGGGGTGCCGGGGCCATTTTTCCCCCCCCCACAGGCAGCAGCCTACAACACAGCCATGGGTAAAGGCCAGCTGGAGCTGGGCCATGGAGCAGTCCTGGCCCCTCACACTAGTACTTAGGGACCTCCCAGTTGTAATGTCCCCAGAGTCACCACCCAGACTGACATTCTTGCCCCGAGCCTTGCCAGAGTTGCCCCCGAGAGTGACATGGCCAGCTCAGACCAGCGCTGCTCCACAGGCTCTCCCTCGCTGCACAGCCAGTGCTCAGCCATGTCTCCACCACACTGGTCCTTGGCAGGTGGCAGCAGTCCGCAGCCTTACGTGTGGCTGGCCTGGGCCCGGGCCCGGCGGTGGGTTTGCAGGCAGGCCGTGGAGCAGAAGGAGAAGTCGAGGTAATGGAAAGGGATCCGGCCCAGCAGGGACTCTCCACAATGCCAGCAGCGGCTGCAGGAAAGAGCAGAGGTGGCCCTGAGCGAAGCGGACACTTGCAAGAGGATTAGAGGAGCAGAGAGGATTCACTGCCTGGGCTGTGACACGAGACAGCAGCAGCATGAGGGAGCTGGGGCTCCTCTGGTCCTGCACGGCTCACCCAGCAGCCTGGCCAGGACGCACTCCAGGAGGCAATGCTGCGCGGGGCAAGGCACTTCGAGGCAGGCTGAACACGGGGGAATTTGGCCCCACAGTGGGGTTGTAAAGCCCCTGCCCAGATCAGCACGGGCAGGGCTGGCTGCCCACAAGCCTGTGGGATGGCATAGGGAAGGGACGCGGGATGCAGGGTCACAGGAGCGGCTGGGGGAATCGCTTGCCATAGATCTGTCTGCAAGTGGACCAAGTTGTCCTTTCCAAAATATTTCAGGGGGGCAGGGGAAGAGAGAAAGCTTTTAGACAGGCACTGCTGGGAATTGAGTGGACAGGAATAGCTTTAGACTGGAAATGAGAACTGGAGCAAGAAGGGCAAGGAACAGCTGTGCTCACATGGGAGAGTTTGTCTGCGGAGCCGTGCTGCCGCGGCTGTTACCTGATGTTGGCAAGAGTCGTGCGCCGCCCCGGCCAGCCTCCTCTCGGCAGCCAGGGCCCTCTGGGGAGCAGAGAGATGGCTCAGCCCCCCAGCCCCTGGGAGCTGCTGTGCCCAGAGCCCACCGTATCGGCACTGCCCCAGCCAGGCTGGATCCCCTTCCCCATGTGCACGCAGCCTCACCTTCTCCCTGTCGGACAGGGCTGCGAACCGCTGCTTCTCTCCCTGCTCCTGCTCCCAGCGCTGCCGCTCCTCCCGCTGCGCCTGCTCCCGCTGCTTCCGCTGGGCTTTCTGCGCCCGCTTCTTCTCCAGCTTCTTGGCCTCCATCTCCTGCGTCAGGGGCCCTGGCACCTGGGGGCAAAGGGCAGCCAGCATCTCCCACTGAGCCAGGGGCAACGGTACGAGTGGGCGAGGGGCGCTTTGCTCTGGGGTCCCCCAGCTCCCAGAAAGCGAGGGCAGAGGGCCAGCACCCACCTTGGCACGGCTGTAGTCATACTTGTCCGGATGGTCCACCATGAACTTGCGGAAGGCGTTCCGGGTCAGTTTGTCAGCAGAGACGCAGTAGGGGGTCCTCTCCTGCCCATCTCTGCAAGACAAGGAAGACCAGCTCACCCTGCCATGTTACTGCCTCTGTCCCACTGGGCTGCAACCCAGTGACTCCCCAGAGATGTGCAATGGGTACTGCAGGCCAGGGTATCGCAGCCAAGGAGGGCAAAGTTGCTTATCCCTACACCAGAATCCCCCAGATCCTCCCCTTCTTGCATCTCAAATGCCCTGCAAAGGGTGGTATCATTCCTACCCTCTGAACTGCCTACCAATAAACCTGGGAGCACTTTGGGGCAGTGCCTGCCTGCCGCTGTACCAGACCAGGCAGGCAGAGAGAACAGTGGTTCAGCTCTTAGGCTTCCCGTAACAAACCCAGATGTCCCAGCTGGTAGGGACCAACCCTGGCTGTCCCAGGACAAAGCTGGCACCGGTCTCCCGTGGCCGAGACAGGAGTGAGTTGCTGGGCTCCCACAGCGGGGCTGTGCTTGTCAACTGCTGGGTGCCCTGCAGCCGTACCTGAGGGCAGGATCCGCCCCCGCCTCCAGCAGCAGGCACACAGCCTCAGCCTTCCCCGCACGTGCTGCCACATGAAGCAGGGTGCAGCCGCGCTCATCCACAGGCTGGTTGAGCAGGGAGAGGGGCATATCCAGGGGCTGCGCGCCCTCCATGTCCTCGTGGTCCCCAGGCAGGCCCCCGCTCTCTGGCACACCCAGGAGGTGCCGCAGCGTGCCCACATCCCCTGTTTTGCAGGCAGTGAACAGGGCATCACGGAGCTGGGTCTGAGGGTCTCCTATGAGGGAAGAACAGGAGGGGAGTCTGATGGCTCCCTGGGCAGAGTGGTGCTCTGGTCTGACCAGGAAACCCACACAGTGCAGTTAAAACACCATCCTGCTAACTGGATTTGGGCACTGCAGGATCTCCAGCACCTTCAGAGTTCATGACAATGTACCCCCGCATTGCTGGGCACTGTTGGCAGCAGCCGAGCCCTCTCTCCTGAGATGAGACCCACTCCAATACCCCCAACACACCTGGCTTAGCCAGGTGCTGCCTGCCCCCTAGTTCAGAGCTACCGTTCCGCACACGGCTCTTTCAAAGGCATGTGGCTGCACTACAGCCATCCCACACTCAGCTGCTCTGGGCACCTGCATGACAACATGGTCTTCACCCTACTGCAAAGCCCCCAGCAAATGGGGCAGGCATCCACCCGGCCCAGCTCCCGACACCACTTACCTCCATCGCCCCAGGGAAGGGGCTCAGCCCCAGCCTCCCCCTGCAGCTCTGTTGCCAGCTCCAGGCTGGGCTGCCCACACTGGGTACCACGGCATCCTGAATCTTCGGCACGGGGCCCTGTGCAGGGAGCACATGGTAAGGAAGAGGGCCAGGGCCAGCCGGCACCCCAGGCATGGCAGTCCCTTCCCAATGCCTTCCTACACTGCCCCTGGCCAGTTCTTCCCCCTCACCTTTCTCCACCTTCTTGTCCCTCTTCTTCCTCCTTTTGCGGTTTCGCTTGGGCATCACTTCAAACTCCCGGAGGTCCAAGGTCCCCAGTGTCACTTCCACAGTCTCCAGGTCCCCTGCAGGACTTTCCTCCTCCTCTTCCTCTTCCTCCTCTGGGGCTGAGGGGGGTGATAAGACAGGGGCTGAAGCCCCACACACGGCACGAATCACTCAGGGCTCTCAGCCAAGCACACCCTGCCCTTCTCCTGCCCAGCACCAGGCCACACTCTGCAGATCCCCACTGTGATGCCAGGCCCTGTCACAGGGCTGCAAACCCAGCCCCTGTGCCATAACACCAGACCCCACTGCTTGCTCCGTGGCTGAACTCACCACTTGTGTCCTCCTGCAGGGGATCCACCTCTGCTTTCCGCCGCCTCTTCTGCCAGGCCTTCCGGGGGGACCCAGTGATGTCCTCCAGTGGTGTGTCCTTCCCTGGGCAGCAAGGGTGTTCCTGTCATTGCCTGGGGACAGGGAGCACCCCACATCTCCACGGATTGAGGAGCTACCGCCTCAACCCCATAGGGCAGCATCTCCTAACACACATGGGATCACACAAGGGACCCCGTCACCCCACCTGCTCTGACCCACAGGCACTGGGGCACCAGGGCTGGGCTGACTCACCATACACCTGCAGGCTGGCCAGCGTGGCATGGACTCGCAGCACCTCTCGCAGGGTGGGCCTGCGGGTGCTGAGGGGGATGTGGCAGACACGAGGGTCACCTCGGATAAGGGGTGAGTTCCTGCCACCAAAGAGCAGTGCCCGGTTGTGGCGTGGGGCCCGGAGGAAAATGCGCTGAGCTTCATTCAGGTGCTGTGCCCAGGCTGCCAGCAGGTCCTGAATATCCTGGGGAGGAAGGAGAGGCACTATGGGGTTCTGAGCACACTGTGTGGGCACAGGTTGCTCCGGAGCAGGGACAGACCCAGGACAGAGCAGCTTCAATTGGGCCCTGACCCCCTTCTGGAGCTCACACCCCACCCACGCCCTCCAGCAGCAGTATGGCATCCGGACGCAGTATGGCAGCCCCCCAGGGGGCCAGCCATGACCACGTCTCCCTGCCGAGAGCCCAGTGCTGTGGTCTAGCCCCACCTTGAGCAGCGCGGTCTCATTGTAACGCCGCAGGGAGGCTCCGGCTGACCTGGGTGCTGACCCTGGGGTCTGGGCATCCCGTAGGCCCTGGGCTGTGCCCCGACGGGCTCGCACTGTGTAGCGGTGAAAGGTCTTGTGCTCCTGCACCTGCGGTCTGTGGAGAGGGGCAGGCATGAGCAACAGGGCCCCACACACAAAGACAAGGAGAGCTGATCCTCCTGGGACCCTGGAGGGCTTATGGCTTGCCCCTGGGGCCCTAAAGATTAATACTTCTCTTGCAGCACAACTGGGCTTAGCCAACTCTCAAGTAAAGACTAGGAGCTGCGGGTGCCCAGGGTGTGGTAAGCACTGCGATGGAGTAGGGAGGGGATGGCCATCCAATGCCTAGCCCCACCTGACCCTGCCCAGAGGGGCAACCCCAGCTCTGTCCCCCTGTACTCACCCCCGGAACACAGCTCCTGCAAAGTGCCCGCCGCCCATCATCAGCACAATCCAGCACGTGCTCGCACCGAGGCTCTGCAGTGATGCTGTCAGCTCTGCTGGCTCCTTGCTGCCACCCTGAGACACAGAAACCCCGGCTAGCACCCATGGGATCACCTTGCCACCTCTTGCTGTCCCCCAGGACAGAGACCAGCCCCTCTGCTGGCACCAGAAGCAGGTTTCTGGGAGCACCCCAGAGCCAAAAACCAGGCCACCAGCAAGCCTGGGACTCTGACCTGGCACCAGAGACTGTCCTTCCCATCACGGGACGTGGGGGGCTGTCATATAGATGTCTACACCCCAGTGCCACCCGCCTTCTCTGAGGTCCTTCTCCCAACAAGATGGGCTGTGACTTGCCTTCCCGGTGTCCAGCACGCAGCGGTAGGCAGAGATGAGCTGGCCCTTTGCATTGCGGAGCAGCACCTTGTGGGAGCGGGGGGTCTGGGGGGTCCCAGGGCTGTCGCTGGCAGAGGGCAGCAATTCCGACTCACTGCTTGCATCAGAGCTCTCTGAATCAGACCCTGAGATGCTGGAAACATCACCTGTAAGGGAAAGAAAATGGGGCAGTGGAGCAGGGCAAAGACTAACCCATAGCCTCCCCAAAGCTTTGCAGGTGACTCCAAGGGCCAGCCCACGGTCCCAGAATTGTCCCTGTCTGATACCCTACATATCACATAGGGGCTGTGGAGACAGGCATGTGGGGCTCCAGACCCCCAGATATGCATAGGTAGGGCTCAGGCAGAACAGCCCCTTCTCCCCATAACAAGTCAGCAGGGCTCAGGAGCAGTGCTGGTCTCCCAGGAGACCCCACAGGGACAGAATAAAGGGACTGTGAGCTGGCAGGGGTAGCCAGGGGCTTTATCCCTGGACAGAGCAGCTCCGGTGAGGCCACTGATGGCCTCTGGGCTCTGCCGGGGGCAGCCCCATTCCTCACCTGCACAGGTCTTCTCCTCAAACACTTCTACTGGCAGCGTCCGGCGCCCCAGGAGTCGCTGCTTTAGGTTGAAGCGGTGCCAGTCGAGACGGTAGTGCTCAGTCTGTGGAGGAAAGAGGTATGAGCTGGCAGGGTCTTGGTGGTCTGCAGAAACGCCCACCACCAAAGGGCCTGAGGTGACAGACCCCAAGGGCTGAACTGGTGCTGGGACTCTGCATCACCCCACGTAACTGTTAACCTGAACAGGTGCAGGCCTGTGCTGCATGCACCATTTAGCTGCAGTAAATCGCATTTCAAGCAATAATATGCAGGGCCTGAGTGCCAGATCTCAACAGGACGTGGGTAGCAGAGCTCTGAGAAGCAGCCAGCCCTGGGCTGCACCGTGCTGGGGCTGAGCCTCCGCAGCAGGACCCCGCCAGCGGTGCCAGCCCCACTCCCACCTACACTGGCCGCTCGGCCCCGCTCACCTGCTCCTCCCGGCTGCTGAACACCTGCCCGCAAGTTGAGCAGCACATTCGCTCTGGCACCTCGGGGACCCCGTGAGCCTTCTCCTCGCTGCTGGCATCTGCAGGTTTCTCTGGAAGAAAAAGGCAAGGCTGTGCCCAGGTGGCTCCCCAGGCTGCACCGCAAGGAGCAGGGCCTCCTGGG